TAGATATATAGATAGACAGACAGACAGACAGACAGATAGATAGACATATAGATAGATAGATAGATAGATAGATGATAGATATATAGATAGATAGATAGATAGATAGATATACAGACAGACAGACAGACAGACAGACAGACAGACAGATAGATAGATAGATAGATAGATAGATGATAGATATACAGACAGACAGATAGACAGACAGATAGATAGACATATAGATAGATAGATGATAGATATATAGATATATAGATAGATAGATAGATAGATAGATAGATAGATAGATAGACAGACAGATAGACAGACAGATAGATAGATAGATAGAGATAGATATATGATAGATAGATAGATAGATAGATAGATAGATAGATATTCACCTCATTGGCTTCACTTTGCTGCTGTTCCTTCTTTCGTCTTCTCTTCTCTTTCTTCTTGTCGTTATTTTGGTTGGTCTTCCCGCTGGGAGATTTCCCCGAGCGGGGCTTCCCTGCTCCACGACCCGCCTTCGGCTTCCCCGCATCCGAGTCCGAGTCCGAGTCCGAGTCGACCTGCAGCAGAGCGAAGCGGGACGCCGTGGTGGGCACCGAGATCACCGCCGATGCCATCCTGAACCTGCCAAGCACACGAGCCCGAGTCAGCGCTAGCACTAGTGTACGGCGAGAGCATTCACAAATCAGTGCTACACAGAGGAAACCAGAGCAACATGCATATAATGAACTGACAGAAACACATAAAACCAGCTTTAAACTGCATTGCAAATCACAAATCTGTTTGCTGTAGAGTTATGGCAGTTGTGTAGAGAATAAACGACATATTTAGGCTTTTTTTTTTTTTTTAAACACTCTATATACTGCGGTTGCAATCATCACATCATTTGATACGCTGAGTGTCGCTAGCTTCGACTTAGTTTAGCTCGCAGTGCTGCACAGGAGTGACTAACGCGCGCGCTGTCGCTGGCATGGGCCCTGAACGTGTTTCGAGCTCTTCAGCTCGTCTCGTGCCACTTAAACCTGAACCACACAAACTTTCACCTGTTTAGGATTGTCGGTATCCTCAGCTTCGAGCAAACAGAAACTGCGAGCACACACAGACGAGAGTATGGCGGCCTGAACGGACACAAAAGCGTCGCAGCAGTCATTGGGTGGACAATGCGGTCAGATAATAACCGAGCCGGGTTCACTGAGCGGTTCTCACGCCAGGTGGCGCTCTGCGGCTCAGGAACACAACTCTCAGGCGCATCAGTTATCAAAATGATTTTTTTTTGCGTCTCTTTAAGATACTTGTATCCTAAAACTAATAGTTATTTAATTGTATAAATGTAAATACTTGGCATGCATAGTAGTACGTGGCGCAGAAATGCATATAGAGCTATTAAATATTTATCTTTTTTTTTATCCAGTAATCACAATGACTGTGATTTATGGAGGGCGAAACCTGCGAAAACAATAAATACACAAATAAATAAATGTGTGCATAAATACACGTATTCTTGTTTAAATAATGTGATGAAAGTAGGCAAATAAATTAAATAAATTGGTGGGCAAATGGAAAATGTTTAAGGAAATGCTAAACTCATCCTAACTAAAAAGTAGATTTTCGCCATATGGGGTCTTACTTAGTGACCTATGCTACACAATTAATGTGCATGCATGCTATGATAAAAACTGTCAGACAAAATGATAGCGTTTTCTTTATCATAAACAAGGTGTGAAGCCATCAAGATTACTGTCGACCAAAGTGCAAAAACGTCCGAGGCAACAATTCAACCTTTCACATTGATTTTGCACTGCGTGCATAAATGTGCAGACAACAGAATAAGAGCAAAGGACACAATTAACT